ACGCTTGTCAATTCACAGGGATACCACTAAATGTATACAGTATTTACAAGACAACCCCTGAAGCAGACATGAGCAGGTGCACATCCTGGTTAGAACCTACAATGACCTTACTCAATTGTGTAATGAGTCTAAGAATTAATTCTATAAATTAGAATATAACTGTATGGCATATCAGGTACATAACTTTGATTAAGAGAGGGATGTTTGCCTTCTAAGGGGACACATGATGGAAGAAAATGGAACACAAAGTTCCATTCATAAAAATACAAACACCTTTACAATAACAAAAGTTTGAGCAAAAATCTATACAGTGGTAATGAAGGAGTTAGAGTCCTCAGGTTTTGTGATGTTAATATTAAAACCAGAAAATAAAAGAGAAACTAAATTGTGTGTACGAAGCAACCATTTCACAACTCCACCATGTCAAAATCAAAACAAAAGCAAGGAAGTCAAGACAACAAAATGCTGATGTCCAGGTTGGTAGCAAAGTATATTTCTCAAAATCTTTGCATAATAGTTAGCAAAAAGGCAGTTATAAACTTATGTGCCAATCCACATGTAGCAGATTCTAAGGACACAATAAATGTTTACCTTTTCAGTTAAATCTGTGTTGAAATATTAAGCACAGCTATGCTATATAAATATTCTTGAGAGTTCATAAAGACCCTACAGAAAATAGACATATTCATTCCATGTGAAGAGCGCTGCATCTAAATTTCCTAAGTGATCTTTCAGAAGTGCACATATTAATAAAGTAACTATGTCAGGTCTGTAATTCACAGCTTTCACAAGTGAAACAAATGACAGATCTCTGAACAGTTGAAGTTCCCACCATATGATACATGTGTCTGTCTTTAACAGCAAAGCAAATGTTAAACTTCTTTCAGCTTTTGTCAACATTGATTAGCACTTCAATAAAAACACTGAAGAAATGAAACTACAGTGCCAACATAAATCAAATCTCCGGTTACCAAAAATCCCTCTTCATCAGAAAGATGAATCTTGATGGAGATTAGCACACTTCATGTATTTAAACTGAAATTTATGTCTCAAGACAGTCTGCAGAGTACAGCTCAAAAGAAAGAATCTTTGTAGAACTTGTATCTATTAAGCATCCCCAAGACTGTTCTTCCTTTACTAATAATTATTGAGATCTAATTGCAAGTTTCTATTCAAGATTTTTGTTCTGACAGAGTAAAACCTCAAGAAAAATCAATTAAAGGCTCTGTACTCTTTAATAACTCAAGTGCAGACCATGAAGTCCTAGATAATGATTTACCCAGCAAGTCCTCAACCTGTTTATAAAAGGCCAATTCACATACTCAAACTTAACATGACTAGCTATCAGTCAATTCTGTACTTCAGTGCTTCCTTGAAAGAAGCAAACCCACAGCTATTACTCTGGTATCCATATAAAAAAGTGGGGACTCACTACCAAGGAAACAGATCTATTGAAAGTAGACTATGGGACCAAGAAGCTGACCAGAAAGGAGTTGGGGATAATGACATCACCTTCATTTATAACCTTATTCTACCATAGCTCAGAGTCTCAAAATCTGTCACAGGTAGAGACAGTGAGTGAAAAACTTCCTACAGACATGATAAAGAAAAACAAAACCACAGGTCTGGAAGACTTCTTTAGAGAAGACAGGTTAATAAAAGCAATAAAATAACAACCATAACTAGACTGATATGTAGCTCAAAATATAGAGAGGACACTTCACTATCAATCAGATATCAGAAAAATAAAAGGAAGGCTATTATGAATCCATATTCTATACTGTTAAGTTAGCATTCTTCACAAGTACAATGAAGTGGTATCTTAGAAATGATAGAAGGTTATAACACTGAAGTGTCTTACACCAGATTACTTCATCTGTTACCACAGACAGTGAAGCCAAAAGAATAAGAGTATCAGCTAATTCCTCTCAAGATTTCTGTTTGGCAATAAACATTCTTGTCATTCACTCAAGGCTTTTAACCATATTCTGCTAATTCTCAGTTGGTTTTAGACATCCTCCTGAAAGCTCTGAAAGCTGCTTTACAATCTGGCATGCAACACTACATAAAGCAGTTGTAAAATATTGACATTAACATTGTATTTTGCATCTTGTTACGCTTGACAAAAACAAAAGACCAGATGGTTTGTACTTTCCAATAAAAACAGATTAGCTATGCAATTTAAAAGATGTCCAAGACTTAGTTAACTACTGAGTTTGAGCACATTTCTTTTATACAACAAAAGTGTACTAACTGAAATTAAGAGACACCAATCTAATAGGTACACAGCACTTTATGATCATTTATGATTATTCACTGGAATTTGTTGAGCTGACGATGACATTTTATTTCTTAAGACATCGTGCCAATGTTTATCAACTAATTTTAAAAAATTAATATTACTGCAGTATTTTATACACTGTATAAAACATTAAGTTTGAGATTATTTTACTGAAACTAGAAAAGAAACCTATTCTACTGATTTATGTCAGAAATAAAGTTGAGATTTTCACTGCTAACTCAAAACATACTACCTAAGGGATTCCATAACAGTTCATAAAATGTCTTTGTTTTTAAAAGGTATGGTCTGTGGTATGTATTTTCTGCGAAGAAATAGAAGAACATGTGTAGCATCAGATGTGTGTACTTTAAGAAACCCTGGAATGTGAAATCCACAAATCCAAATAAAGCAGGTGGTATAATTTGGGAGGGAGGACTGAATTTAAGTTTAATGACATTACCAGGTTATCCTACCAGACTAATTCTCACTCACTGCATGACTTCAATGAAGCTCTCAGTCCTCATGCTGATTTCGATTTAGTTGAAGTGCTATTTGATGCATTTCATCTGGAGTTTTATTCACTTCAAACTACACTTCATTTAACCAGGCTGCTGCTGTACTCATTTGTTTTTCTACTTTATTACTCACAAATTGGTGTTGCTTAGTTTAGATAAATTGTTGGACAAAGTTCATTTTTTAAAGTTTTTTTTATTTCATTAATAAATAAATAAGCCATATAAAGAAGAAATTAAACTACAGGAAAAAAGTGAGAAAACCAGCAAAACACACCAGTCCACAGTACTGCAGTAAGTGCTGGTCTAACAGTATCTTCTAATAAATGCCAGTAGATGGTTTGCTGTTTTAAGACAGGACCATTCCCCTGCCTCCACTCCCTAAAACTACAGCTCTTTCCAACTAGGCATGCATGGTAATTCAATGCATTTTAATAAGAGAGACAAAGAATGTGAGAGAGGCAGATTACACAGGAGAATCCAAGAATGCATGATACACAGAACGTAAGGGCAAGGCCAGGAACACGAGACAGAGTGAGGGCAAGTGTGAAACAGTGCACAAGGAAAAGCACAAGAAACCAAGAGTGAGCGAGCAAGAGATGGAGCACAGCAAGCACAAGCACACACAGAAGAGCACAAGCACACTCATGAGAAAACAGCAGCACTTGAATACCATGAACTTGTCACGTGACATTTATTTAAAAATTCATCACTAAATTTTTTTTTTTTTTAGTTTGCACAACTAAACATGGGGTTTACAATATAGTAAGAAATTAAAGTTTGCCATTCAACACTGATTTATTCATGCAATTTGCTAACCAGGATTAATAACCAGAGCTTAGTGTTAAATGTCAGATAACGTAAGGAAAGGCTGTCAGTTGTAATGTCCTGAAGTACTCTGATTAGTGCTGAGTATACAGTATCCTAAAAACTTTTTTTTTTTTTTTAGCAGAATGGTACAACATAACAGCAATTAATTTTAAGTCATTAATACTCTTGTAAATTATTGACAGAAAATATGACTAAATCATATAGGCTGCTACCACCTGGTGGTGTGCTGATAATGCTAAAACCCATTTACATTTAACATGGCATCACAGCTTGTGAAAGAAAAATTAGTATATTCTTTATATGATACTAAGAACAATCATAGAAGGAGACTTTTTTGTATAATCTATTAAGGTTTCACAAACAAATGTATCTTACAACTTAGCTATTCACCACAATGTTTGAAGCCAAAGTATTTAACCACTAACATGTTCTTTCATTATCTTGTCATTTTATGTAAAATTTTTTTTGCATGGATTTAGTCATAGAGTAGTATTACAGACAGCTCCTGCTCAAAACGAGGGATAAAGAATGTTAATACGTTGTCCAAAATATTGTCAAAATGGATTTTTCTGAAAACAGTGTTTATAAATGCAACATATCAATATAAACTATTACATACAGATTTATGATCGCAAGATTTGAACTGTAGAGATAAATTTAAATACTAAATTTCCATTGTATTAAGGCAAAAAAAAAAATTATATAGCACATTTCATAATAAAGTACAGAACTGTTTTCAGAAGAAAAATATTTGTATTTAATATCTGAACTACAACAAATAGTTTAAATGTCTTCATCACAATGTTGAAACACTTCCAGCTGTAATGAGAAATAAATAAAAGTGTAGGTTTGAGATGTTTCAGGGTTTTACTCTGCAATTTGTTGCTTTTTATTTGTTTGAGTTTAAAAAAAAACCAAACTAATCTATTCAGTTAAAACATCAAGCTTGCCACCAGTATGTAACTTCAGCTTTTATATCAGCTCAAGAAAGAATGGCTACTGGTTCCAGAAACCTACAAGGTCTAGAAGAAAGCCATTTACCACAGGGCCTTTGTATCACAGAATATGGAGATCTGCAAGGGACCCACCAGGATCACTGATCTCAAGTGACTGGCCCATCCAGGGATTGAACCCATGACCCTGATGTCATTAGCACCACGCTCCAGTTCCCTCAGCCAAACAAGGGTTTAAAATGTTTATTGACAGCTATCCTCACAAAGAAACCTGGGAATAGTAACAGGTGTAATAGCAGAATATGATAGAGGAGACAGAAGTTTAGGGATATACACAAAGCTTGGTGTTTTTAAATCCCTCATTAAAAATGCAAAAGTAATTGTTCACATGACTTAAACACACCATACAGGCTTAATGCTCACCAATATTTGGGGAACTTGATCAGCTTGCCATAAACAGCAGTACTGAATGAGGGGATAACTGGAACAGGGATGCAGTATAATCCTTTGCTGTCCAAAGAAGTCAGCGCTGCTTGAAAACCAAATATCTGGAACAAATTCAGTTAGTCAAATGGTATATTATCACATGATTAGTGATCTTACTTTCAAGACATTTTATAACGTAATATATGTATTTATAAATATACTCAGTAAATATTAATAAAATTGTGTATTATTTTTAGATCATTCTTTTCCCCCAAACATACATATAGCTACAAAAATCTACCTCAAATAATGCCCTAGAAATACACGTAAAAATATTTTCTTCACTCAAAAAGCATTAACAATGGTCTGCTGAATTTAAAAGAATGCCAGATTACAATTTTTCAATTCAAATACTTTCGCCTATATCCTTTAAACTTGAAGAATACATACTGCCTTTCATACAAAGTAAAATCACTTTGAGTAATTATAATATATACCACTGGTATATATTATGTGGTATAAAAGATTAGTATTTAAGGAAATTAGAAGCTTCCCTTCAAAGCTTTTCTGCTTAATAAGAGCCTGGCAAAAGAAAGATTCATCACAAGAATTCTTTATGTTTTTTCCCCATTCAATATGGCAAGAAATTGTTGTAGAGTTGTCTTTTAACATGCTGTACCACTATTCACAAGAACAGAACAATTCAGCCATTATTAAAACTAGCAAATAAACCCTTTAAAACCCAAAGCTGATGTCCAAATTTTGCTACTAAAACATTTTCTGAAAAGAAAAAAAAATCCTCTCAAACTGAAAAACGTACCAGTGATTTGCAGTACTGCAATTCCAATCACTTTAAATGTGACAGAGGGTAAACACTGCACCCAGAAAACTGAAAGCTTGTCATGCAATTCTGAAACAGTTTTTTGTATGCAGATAATAAAGACTTAAATAATTAAATTGTTCTAAAATATCAGTATGGAGGTGATTAGATAACTGAGAAATTGACTAAAATTAACAGTAGTAGTATTAAATACTTATATTTTAGTAACATCCAAAAGGTTTCAAACTTCCTAAGCACATCTTAGAAGGTTGGAAAAGCCTGCTTCAGAATTCCTCAGAGCAGACGGCAACTGAATTGTCTCAAAACAGTTTTCCGTATCTTAAGCTTCCCCCAGCCTCACAATAAGAGCTCCTCTCATATAATGCATCTTTAACTGAGAACGTTCAGAGATCTGTCCTCTTATAATGAAAAACAATTGAATTGTTTGTTAACAGTTTGTGATTGCATATCTTCACTGTGATGATTTTGCTCTTTTTCAATACTACTAGCAGTGATGGTTTTTCCTCCTAACTTCCCATCAAATATGTAAGTGAATTTTGCAGCAATCTACAAATCATAGGAGCGTTATCTCAGATGAGGAAAAGGGTTTCTTTCTGAATAATTTTAACTCATTCACAAGGACCTTGGGGCTTCGGTCTGCACAAGGACCTCATATGAAGTCCTCAGTGCATATTACAAAACACTTGGCTCAAGTCAGAAGCAGCAATCCCAAACAACAACGTTCTGTGAAATGTGTTTACTCTATGGCCTTTCAGATTAGCTGAAAACATTCTTACAGGAAACCTGCTAACACTTAGGATTAACTTAACGTACATGATCTTTTCCTCAGCACCCATCTCAAGCCCTCATTTACCTTCAGATAGCAGTGTGAGTAACAGTAATGAAGCAGGTTGTCAGACGGCTGGCCGAGGCTGCTGACCACATGCACCAGTTGCTCAGCATACATGGGCACTGAGTGCTCCAGGTTAACCTTATCCACCAAAATTCGGATGGAAGGTAAAGGCCGCAGGGGCTGGAAATTTGCAGCATTTAACAGTCCACTGAAGTTCTAGGGCAGGGAGGAAAAAAAAATATCTAATAATTATATCGCAGATGTATTACTTATATCTGTATGTTCTTACCTAAACACACAAGAAAAGCTACATGAAATAAACTAATTACAGATATAATGGCATTATACTATAAATCCTCAAATCTTTCAAAATATTTTCTTGGAAGTTTTAATTAATCAGCTTTTTATCTGGAATTGCAGATGTCCAGTTGCAGGTGTCCAGGTGCTGGCAGTGCAGGGGCAGCCTCTGTGAGGGACACCAGGAGCTGTCCTGGGCCATGTTCAGCCTGCTCCAGCTAGTGCTGCAACAGCCCCCACAGGGCACAGCTGAGCTCCTCGGCCAAGCTGGGGGCACCTCTGTGCAAACAGATTTAACAATGGGCAAAAACACCACCCAGGCTGCAAAGACTCAGAGATTACGTGAGAAACAGCAACATGAAAAGCAAGGTCAGAGAAGGAGGGGGAAGCAGTGGTGCTCCAGGCACCAGAGCAGTGATTCTCTTGCAGCCCATGAAGGGGACAACACAAAAGCAGACATCCACACTGCAGCCCAAGGAGGTCCCCATGCTGGTGCAGGTGAGTATGTCCTGAAGGGCACTGCAGCCTTGAGGAGAGCCCATGCTGGAGCAGATTTTCCCTCAAGGACTGCAGCCTGCCAGAAGGACTTGCACTGAGGCAGAACAGTGGGAGAATGAGGGAGTGGCAGAGATCACCTGTTACAGACTGACCCCCATCTTCCATTCTCCATCCCCCTCTTTTAAGGGGTGGGAGGTAGAAGAGCCAAGGAATGAAGGAGTGGAATTGAGTCTGAGGGAAAAAGGGGATAGGGGATAGAGGATATATGTTGTTTGGATTCTTAGCAATAAGTGAAATTAATTGTCCCAAGTCAAGTTTGTTTTGCTCTTACTGGTAATTGGTAAGTGATCTCTCCCTCTACCCTGACCCATTCTCTCCCCCACTGCTCTGTTGAGGAAGGGGAGTGAGAACAGCTGAGTAAGCATCTGGCAGCTGGCTGAGGTCAACCCAGTACAAGAATATGCAAAGTTGTAATATTTCATCCTATAAAATCTTTGTTTACCTTTTTATCACTCCAAAGCACTATCACCATAATAATCTCATGCTGATCTAGCCTTCACACTGTCATATTTTATGTATTCATAGTCATGCCAGGTATCTCAGCAAAAGAAAATGCCATTCCATAGAAAATAAATACCACAATTTTAGACATCCAAGCCTATTTTTCATAGTATTCATTAAAATGGAATACTGTACCCAGCACAGGCCGGACACGTACCAGAATAACTTTGCTGGAAACAAAGTGGTTATGGCGCTGGGTCTCTGTCTCAGGAGAAACAGAGACAACTGAAGTCTTTCAGTCTGGAGAAGGCCAGAGAAGAATCCTACCCCTGTCTACTGCAATCTGCTAGGAGGGTACAGAGAAGAACGAGACAGAAGAGGTGCTGATTCAGCACCTGACAGAACAACCCCTGAAGTAACTCGCTCTTGCTTTAACCATGATGTTGAACTCCTGGAGAATACCTCCAAACAACTCTTCCAATACAAATTATACAAATCCAAAAAAAATATTAAATATGTATCAAAATAAGACAATAAGGTGACATATGATTTTCAATCTAAAATTCAAAATTGTTATTTTAAATATGCTTGGCTTCATTCAAGAAATGTAAATTGAGACTCCAAGTAATCAGTACCTCAATCAGAAAATTCACTAGAATTCAACCGCTTTACCTCAAGCCTAAACAAACACAGGACTGTTCATTATAAAAATACCATCTGCCCATGCCCATAAGGTAAAAAAGCACTGCATCCCACTGCATTACTCAGTGCAATGTATTAAAAACTTCTAAAAATGAAAAAACCTCTCTGAGCAACCTGTTCCAGTGCTTCACCACCCTCTGAATAAAGAATTTCTTCTAAAGATCCAAACTAAATCTGATCTCTTTTAGTTTAAAACTATTGTCCCTTGCCCTGTCACTATCTACCTGTACAAAACCCTCTCTTTCCTTTTTACAAGTCCCCTTCAGGTACTGAAAGGCCACAATCAGGTCTCCTTAAAGCATTTTTTTCTTCAGGATGAGCTACCACAGCTCTCTCAGCATATCAGATGAAATACTGGACAAAAATTCCTAGAAATTTAACTCAAGGACTGATGAGGTTTGCTCTTCCTCACACTTCTTCCCTTATCCATAAAATACCTTCCAGCTTCTGTGGCACAAGAGATAAACCTATTTTAAGTCTTTACTACAAGCCACAGATTTATCCCTACAGTACCTCAACTTCATACATTGAAGGAGTCCTATAAGAATAAAACCAGTACAGGATTCTTTAGATGGCATTATACTACACATATTCAAAAGATAAAACAAATGGCTATCAGGAAATTTCTGTCTCTCTGAGCTAGTCATTCAGCAGTTAAATGCCCAAGTCCTGCTGACATCCTGTCTGAACTAGCACACACAGAGCTGGCTATTAAAATCTGTCATCTCTATTGAGCCTGTGTATTAAAAGATTTGATACTTTACCATATTATACTATAATTATATTATAAAGACCTGCAGAACAGGTACTCTTCTGATCAAAACATCAGAGCTACTGCTTTTCATTTTCTTGATGCTTTAAAACCTTTTTTATTCAAAAGTATTTTTCCTATCCACACATGACACTTTCAGTTTCCAAGTCTAACTAGTCAGGTGCCGCTCATTTTAAGTATCTGAAGTGCTCACGGGCACCAAACTAATCCAGAACTCAGTGATATATCCAGCACATGGAGTAAGAGGCCAGTAAGAAAATTTATATTGAATAGCACATGCTGATGTAAAGAACTGAATCATCTGTGCATACATACCTTCTCACCCATGATTATGGGCAGCAAGTGGTCTAGTAAATTGAATTCTGCCACAGGGATTATAATTGTACATTTAAGAACAGTGAACGTTGTAAGTCTAGTGGGAATGTATTCCTCCAGTGATGCTACTTCTTCTGAGCTTGGCATAGTTCTACTTCCATCCATAATATCTACAATAAATGAAGATTACATATATTTCACTAAAATATATAAAATGTGTCCTACATCTGATGTTTCAAAAATGCCTAGGGACTAGCAAAAAATGCAAAGCTCACCCCCTGCCCCTTCACAGTTAATAATGTTATTCCATACTGCATCTACCTAAGGCTAAATGCAATGCTAACTCGATTTTCCTTACTTGAAATCTGTATTGCTCTCAGAAACTCAACTTAGCAGTCAACATACTTATTTCCATGCATTTTCATCCAGTATGACTATTATTTTGAAATAATAAATACCAGTAGGAATACTTTCTTCTCTAAGACTCCAAAATGAAGCTAGAGTAGATAATGAAGTCAGCTATTCTTACTCAACATGAGGCTTACGATTAAAACAAATGGCTTTCAAAGTGTCTGAAACTATCTCAGAAGTACATCCAACACAGATGGGGATATTATGATTAATTTACTTTTATTTTACATTTTGCTGTTCAGACTCAAAAACTATTTGAAAGCAGCACCCTCCAAAACACTAAATGTAGTCTAGTTTAATTCTGTTTATTTGTGTATATGCAATAGGAGCAAACCTGGCTTAGTTCTGCTGTATGGTTCATACTCATGTTCCAGAGCACAAACTATCATTTTCATGATCCGGTGTACTGCGCTGCTATCCAGTCGAAGATTGAGCGGACCCACAATGAGGCTTTTTGTAGACATCTCCTGAACATTTCCAAAATCTTCACTCTTTACTGAAGAAAGGTCTTGCTGATTCCCAGAAACTACAATAAGTTTTATAAAAGTTACACAAAACAATTGGACATAACAACACATTTTATCAGCTACTTCTGTTTAAAATCCTGAGATCAAAGGCTTAATAATTATACAGAAAAATATAAAAATGCAAATAGAACACACAAATATACAATGACTGGTATAACAGGTTTTAACAAAATTATTCCTGGTAAATGCATAGCAAACAGGGAAAATTCCTGCCTTGCCTCCAAAATGAGTGAAACTAAGTAACCCTCCCATGAACTTTGAATTTCTCAAATTTGGGACTCTTTGAGGGTGTCTAAACTTTGATGACAGCTTAACCCCAGGCATCAGCTGTGGTGTTCAAAACTTTCTGCAGCTTGTCACAGACATATCCACCCCCAATAACCAAGGAAAAGGTGTGCTGCAAAGACATGGTAGATCTGGGCCCTTGAAAGGTTAGCTGCCCTGACAAGGCTGGAAGAACCAGACTGACAACTACGATAAACTCTTCCTTCCATTCATATTTACTGCCATTCACTGACATATGGGCAGCAAGGAAGAAAATTTCTTTAATCATTATGTCTCAGATTGGCTTCTTTTAAGAGCCAACAGAGATAAGAGTAGTTCAGTAACGTAGGCTAATAAGGTAGACCAAAAATTACACCATTCAATCACACATTCAGTGTACACAGGCTACTCATGAGCTACTCATACAGCTAGTCATAAGCATGACTATTTCGCTAAACATACTTCATGGAAATTCTTCAGTTAAATCATGAAGATTTCAGAAAATCACATTTTCCTGTCACATATGACAAAATATAGTCCTACTCCTCTAACATTTAGCTTGCAGAACTTCACTCTGATTCTTTTTCCTAAGATCATCACTTTGACAGTGTCTTCATTGCTTTGACACAAGCACTAAACATTAAATATCTTGCTGACCATTACATAAATGAACAATCTGACAAAATAAGCATAGAGATTAAATGGATTCTGAGATGTCAATGGAGCTGGTGAAGGGCCTGGAGCACAATACTTCTGAGGAACAACTGAGGGTGCTGGGGTTTAGTCTGAGAGAAGACCTTATTGCTCACTAGATCTACCAGAAAGGAGGGCATAGCAAGGACAGGGAGTCAGTTTCTTCTCCCAGGTAAGAAGCTACAGGATGAGAGGCCTCAAATTGTACCAGGGGAGATTTAGATTGGATATTGGGAAAAATTTCTTCACTGAAATTGGCTACAGGCACTGGCACAACTTGACCACGGAAGCATTGTAACCACAATCCCTGGAAGTGTTCACAAATGTATGAGTATGGCACTTGTGGACACAGTTTAGTGGCGAACATGGCAGTGCTGGGTTAATGGTTGGACTCAATGACTTAAAAGAGTTCATTTCCAACCTTAACAATTCCATGGTTTCTCCTTGCCCAAGAGGAACCCATTCACCCTTTTGTCTCTCTCCTTAACTGTACTCTTTTAACTGCACTCATTCAAAACAGTCTTTATATTGAGAGAAGTTGAACTTGGTGGAAAAGGAAGCAAGGACAGGATTTTTTTTCCTTTATGTTTAAATCATACTCCATAAAACACTGTTGCTTCTAAGCACTGGTAAGGAAAAAGGTCCTCAAAGTGAGACTATGCCAAATTTGATGCGCAGCTGGCCTAATGTTCTGCAGGCCTTTACAGGCTTATACAGTCAGCAGAAGAATTAACTTTATCCTTAAAATCCTAACAGAAGTTGATGGTGAGAGCATTTATAGCCTCTGCTTCCCTTGGTTTGTTGTTTTTCTGAGAAGAAAAAGAACAATAAAAGAAAGATAAAAGGACAGAAGGACACTACCTTATAAAACCTACTCAAATCTTCAGCTGCAACTGAGTTACAATCTTTTGAATGAATCCTGAAAGAGATTTTTTTAAAGCCCAGCATACTGACTTCTGCATTTATTTTATAGGCAGTTAACATATATACTTTTATCCTTCCAATTCTACAGAGTATTCCGTTTAGATGAACACTACCAAAAAGTGTAAAACACCATACCATCACATAAAAAATAATAAGGCAAAAAATAATAAGGCCAGAAGTAGTAACAGCCTGCCTTTTCAAAGAGGAAAAATCAGCCTTGCCTGTATATATTTTATGTATATGAATAATACATCTCAGTGACAGAATTTATACAAACCACTTTCTGGAACAGTTCCAGTTAATTCCACCTAAGTGCAAAGGGAATAGGGTAGAAAAACCTATTGGTTCTACAGAAGTAGGTGATCACAGATGACTTGAAACTTCACAGATGCATAAAGAAAACCAATTTTCAATCACTGAGTTTTCAAGCTCTCTGTATGTTGTGTGTCTCTTTCTAACCAACCAAAAATATCAAAATGAGTGCTGCATAATAAACTTGCCAGCAAAGTAGAGGTGTACACATTACAAACATAAAGTAACTTTAACAGCACACCCTGCTAGGTCTGTAGGTCATGCAAATCAGTGATCAGGGAATTGACAGGCTGTGTAATGTTTCAGAGGCATTGTTCTGCACTGAAATACAAAGCAAAAAACCAGAAAAAAAGGAAGGGGAAGACAGACAAAATGTCAAAATAAGACTACTGTGCATGACGATCTTGCTTTCATTCAAAATACTGAAATTGATTAATGCACTTCTGTAAGTGACAGATGAAACTCCTGAGGGTTTATGTTATCCAGGAGGCACTTGTGGTTTAATCAGTAATCCTATGCTTCAGGAAAGGTTAAAGGTGCGAAGAATGTGTCAAACCAAAATTGCCTTGACAGATAAAAATCTTACAATCACAGTTACTCCCTCCTATAACTTAAGTTGGGTTCATTGTTTTATGGTATGTGGTGTGCAGTAATTGTAACTAGAAACAGTTATACCAAAATAAGAAATAGTAAAATGCAAACTTTCATATAAACAACACATTAAAAATGCAACAGATTTATATTGCTTTCAAAATCTTAAGATATTTTTACCTTCATCTTAAATAAATATTTTACAACCATTTGTTTACATTCTATTTAACAACTATGCATTTAACCCATAAAATGGAAAAATTAGCTAGAAAATAACTAGCAGAAAACATCACATTTGCTTTTCTGAGGAACAAAACCATTTGAAATTTTAAGATTTTAATTTCTTGGCTCTAGAGAAACAGCAACCATTTAAACAATTTAAAAATTAATTATTCCACTCTTTTATGCAGCCAGGTTGCTGAAGTTAAAGGAGCAATACTGACATAAAAGCACAAAGTATGACTTCATAGGAAGCCAAGCTACATTTTGTGAGGTGTTTTCCTAATGACTGATGGAGAAAATAGGAGCCAAGGCTTTGAGAAAGCATCCTGGAAGAAAAAAAAAAGAGAAGCTAAGGAAGGAAAATGTGGTCAGAAAGTACAATAGCCTGGCACTGAGGATAAGAAAAAAGTATTTCTGAATTCAGTAATATAGTTAAAAATCAGGAAGAGATATGATCATAACATTCCTTATGCATTCAGAGAAACATGACAAAATACTCCACAAGATCAATTTTTTTTTATAATACACATAGTCTGTGCATATTTAAATTTCTATACTAAGATTCAAAAAGGAGATAAGGCCTACCCAAGGTTTTCAACTTCTCTACACAGAAGTTCAATGTGCAATTAAACATTTACATCTTATTAAAACCAGAAGTCAGCAGTAGAAGTTTGACTTAATTGTACATTTTCAGAGCTTCACACCACACTTATGGAACAGAAGAAAGCCTCAGAGTCAGGAAGAAACTGTTACATTTCCTGGTGTATGTCTCTGCTGAGGAGGGCAATAGCACTATTTACTCATTTCTGTAAATGTTTCATGATCCATCTCTAAGGAAACTAGAAGTTTCCTTCCTACTCCTTTTAGACTTAATGTCAACCACATCCAGAAAACAAAGTCAAACATTAGGAGTTGTGATTTCTCTTACAAAGAAATAGAAATACAAAAAACAAAAAAAAACAAAACCCCAGATAAGTTGGACTATGTAGCTAAGAAGGGTAAATGTTCAGTCACAAAATAGCAAGAAGTTCCCAACAGATATATAGTATTCATAATAATAAATAACACAGATGGGGAAGAAAGTAATATTAACTTGACAATAAAATTATAGAACAGCAGCTGTAGATGACAGTGTTCTGAGCAGTGAAGGGGAAATTATATCACAATTAGTGATAAGGATATCTGTGCAAACATATAAACATATTACTTGTTGATAGATGAACTTCATTGTCCCAGCTTTTGTGACACTCAAAAGTACAAAATTATACATTTATATATGTATAAGTATATATAGTACAAGTATATTAACAAAAGCAAATATACTTACTTCATTAAATCCACTTCTCAGACTTAGAAAAGAATTTATAGGAATCAGAAAAGCTATTTAGAATTAGCCAATATCTATGTGCACATGGTTTAGGCTAATATTTGCTCATCAAATTTTTTAGATACATATATTTAAAGATAACATTTCACACTGTCTTGCATCCTTGCATTTTTCTTCTTAAAAGAAAAACAATAGTCCTTTTCATCTTCTGTGCCAAGTATATGGTCAATCTCATTCCTCAACCAGGGTTTCTCAAGGTATTTTTTTATATGCAAAGTCAATAATAACAATTTTTAAAAAAAAGACATCATACTTAGGAACTTCACCACTGCTACAAGATAATTACTTTCAGTTTAGCAACTGGCTATAAAAAATATCATTATGATTACTTATGCAGGAAAAGAAAAATAAAAAAGGAAGAATACCAACAATTAACAGCTAACCAAAACAACTAACATCTGAAAACGTCAATGAAGATGAAAGCATTTTAATGATGATCCTGATGGTAAATCTAAGGTAAGTCAGAGGACAGTTGGTCAAGGACCATCTGGGCATGAAAAGTCTTTGTTTCTATTATTTATCAGGGTAAACAAAGGAAAAAAAAAGGTACCTTTGCCACTGGTGCTTTCCATTGTGTACAAGTAATCCATGTAGAAAGCCCCAAACCTCTGCATTCCGGCTATCTCTGTGTATGTCTCCTACCAACAAAGCAAAGCAAACAAAGAAAATGTTGTATAAGGAAAGAATCTTGAGATTACTAACTGATAGACTGGTATTAGAGAGATACATTCTTGTTTGGATTTGTGCATCAACACAGGGAAAGGTTTATCAAAGCAAAGGACAGAGGTTATCACAAGGAATTCACCTTTCTGATAGGTAATGCAACTTCCATTTGAGGCCACACAAATGCACATCCATAATTCCTGTGGACATGCTGACCAATTAATCAATAACATCTCGTCAATTAGTACCTTTAATGTAGTAAATATTCTTCATTTGACCTCTTGCATGCAACACATCGACCTAATTAAATATGCTGAAAACTTTAGCTCGTTCAATTTGGTTTCGCTATTCAAGGAATATTGTGGTTTTATCCTTCAACAGTAGGAAACTTATCAAGATTTTATGCCAACATTGGGATTTATACATAATATAATACATTACACAGCAAATTTGATTCCTCTCTTGCCAAAAAAAATGGGAAAATTGTAAAAGCATTGAAGACAGAGCAGGGATGGAGTAAAGTTTAAAACATTATGGGAAAAGTTTGAATATAAGTACTTGTGATTTTACTAATTTCATTTTTTCATGTGATTCTTCATGGTTACACATTATCAATAGTACTAAAAAGGTGAAAACAGTAAAATTTAAATTCAAAGGAAATTAGATAAATTGAAAAAAAAATTACAAAAAATGGTAAATGGTTTACCCATACAATAAACAGCACAGATCTCCACCTATGAGAACACCTGGAAGGGACCACCTCGGTCACTGCAGCCAATCTTTAATAATGGCAGACAACCAGGGAATAAAGTTTAACTACACAATTTCCAACAACAGATACTAGAGGTGCCTGTAAATTTGTCTCCACAAAATGCAGAATTACCAAATCCTTCTCTAAGTAGACAAATAAAGAACGAAAGCAACAAAATTAATACTGTCCAAATCTGACAGCACTTCTTAGTTTGACGACCATAGACTATTTATTGTTTGGGTTTAAAATACACGCTGGTAAAGCTTGACTTTCGCTAGTACTCTCTTGTATGTCTTTTTGCCTCTTAAAATCTTCTGTGGTTACTGCTTTTGGAAACTATGACATTAATTCAGTTTTGGGGGCAGGAGAGGAGTTTGAGGTTTCTTTTGGACATGTTTTTTCAGTTTGGCTCTGTTTTTGGCTCGGCTTTTGTGGGTGTCTTTTTTTTAACGCAAACAGATTTACTTTTTTTTTTTTTTTTTGGGCTGGCTGCAAAGTAAGATTCAGTTAATTGTGTAAAAGTAAAAAGAATTCAGTCCTCTAATAGTACACAGATCTAAATAATTGTAAGAAATCCATTAGAGAGCACTGGAAATTTTTTTATAAGAAAAATGCAATTTTCTGACCTTATGATGAGCTGCATCCAATATATATTCTGCACGAATACTATTATTTTCTGGACTTCTGTAATCAAACAGTGAATTGGTAAGGTATGTCATTCCTTTCACGCTCAAATTTTCTCCACAATTAAAGAAGCATGCCTCCTTCATGAGGTAGTAGAAAGTGAGGCAGGGGAAGAAAAAAACATATTGTCAAGTTAACAGAGCAGTTTCAATTTTGTCTTAACAAAAACATGACAACACAGAATAGTAACCTGCAAGAGCATATTTCATTATGAATGAAGATGAAACAATGAAATTAATTTTATTTGTATAACATAAGCTTCTGTCAACTGCTTCCGCATTTTCAAATCAATAAAAATCGCCTGAACCAATGAATATTATACAACTCATAATACAGAATGCATTAGTTGCATTTTAACAACAAATAAGCTCAGATCATCATCACTCCAAATCTTGCCCAAATCCTCTTGAGTATACACAAACTTGTCACTGTATATTCCATTTCTGGCTTCCAACTCCTTTCAGATGCTGTATCCATCCTCTTCAAGGCAATCAGTTATTTCCATATATGACCTCATTGCTACAGTACCTTTATTTATTAATCTAGATTTTAACATGCCTTCTCTCCGATTTGTATCCTTATGAAATCAATACAACTTTCCTAACAAGAGTTATTAATCCAAAAAAGTTATTTAGGAGATTTATTTTTTCCACCTACCTATTCTCAATCACAGGCAGAGCCAGAACCTTTATGAAAGGACCAATCCCACAACCACAGTAGTACAAAGATAACAGGTAAGCAATATCATCACCACTGCCATAATGCAGATACTTTCCTATATTTCTAGACTAGAGTGGCAGAAAAGTGAGTAAGAGTAAGACCCAAAATGTCCCTTCTTAACTAACCTGAAGGAAATTATCTCAGTTGGTCAGAGCATGGTGCTAATAATGCCACAGGTGTGGGTTCAATCCCCATACCAGCTATTCACTTAAGAGTTGGACTTGATGTTCTTTCTGAGTCCATTCCATCACAGACTATTTTATGAATCTGTGAAATTCTCCTGCTCACCCACCCACCTTAGTCAAAAAAAATCAGTTCTCTAGATTTTATCTGACAATCTCAGATGCCACAGACAAGGTGGCTATCCACCCTCACATCCCCAGCCACATCTCCCTTGTCCTTAACAAGGCCAGCATAGCATTTTTGCAGTTTCTCATCCTTGCCTCCCCAGCCTCTCCTTCTGCAAAATCCTCTGTGTATCCACTGCAGCACACCAGTCATGTAGGATGTCCTACTGCATCACTAAAATCCCAACAATGTCATACTAAGTAGCTGTGTTAGGATATTTTCTTGATTTCTGCTCTGCACAAACACCTGAAATGGATGCCAAGCTATGATACTTTCACAGGAGAAAGAGAAGAAGCTGCCCCATCACATCTATCATAATACAGTATACAATTTCCCAGTTTAGGAGATATTTCCCATAAATATAGACACTTGGTATTTTCTTTCATATTCTTAATTTTTCTCTTGAAAATACTCTCCAAGACTTCACAAAGCACTAAAATGAAGTTAACAGTCTCTTCTTGGCTGTATTATTTGAAATTTTTTATTTACACATAGATAACAGTTGCTGTTCTCCAATACTTTAGGGCAGTACTCTATCTACACTTATTGAATTAAATTATAAATTTAATTACATAATCATAAATTACACTTATGAATTAAAAATCATCATTATTGAACTTAGAATTTCATGCAACACTTCATTAAGTATTGTTAAAGCAGTTCATAATGATACCTGATTTTGTCTTAAGCTGTTGAAGATTTGCATCTATTTAAAATACAAACAATAATACTGTCTAAGTCCTTCACTTCATGTAAGACTGAGTCTTACTGAAAAGTGAGGTCAGACACTCATTCAGTATTCGCACCACATTTTTATTATCTTCAACATACAGTGTTCCCATTTCTTCCTTTCCAATCTTTGGTTGATTTAAGTATTTTCAAAGATTTTCAAATCTATTTTAATTTGTTATACAAAATCCAAGTATGACAACAAAGGCAACAATGGGTTATTGTCCAAAAAGATTTATAAAAGTCTTACGTTCTGCCTCTACTCAATCTGAGATACTCGTCTTTTCAACTCTAAGGAATGGACACTGAGTTCTATATCACAGTAACATCCAAAAATCACAACTGGTAACAGTAGTCTTTAATTTTTGCAGATATTTTAATAAAGGATAACATAATTGCTTATTTAGCAAATCAACTGATATTTCAATATACTCACTTCATCACTCCTATTCATGTTCTCTTCAAAATCTTTAATTCCCATAATTCCTTTAAGGCACATAGCTTGGCAACCAACAAAACCAATTTGGCAATCAAAAAAAAGTTCACCTTTCATAAGGACCTAAGGAGGAAAAAGAAAAAATATGTGTTAAATTTTTAAGCCTTCTACTCCACAAGAAAAACAGAAGACGGACAAAAACAAAGCAAAATATGCTTATTTCATATATTTAGAGTTTTAATAAATAGCAATCAGACAGGGCACTTGAAAGGAAAGAGTTTGACCACTATAGCACAGAAGTTTAGAGAGTTAATATCTACATTATTATTACAAGAAAAAAATCCAATATGACAGAATAAGAAAGATCAGCAATTAAATAATGAAAAAATATTTTACTGGTGACTATTCGGTACATTACTTAAAATGTATCCAAAAAATCCCTGTCAATGTCAAATTACCTCAACAGTTGTTCCTTCTTGTTCCCAGCATATAACTTCTTTGGATTTTACTTTTTGAGGACTGTAATAACTACTTTCAGCTTGCATTTCAGTGAGCTAAAGAACAATAGGATAAACACCTTATAAAATTCAGTATTAGTATTAAACAACAGTATGGTCATTAATACACAGAACTGATAAAGATGAAGTAAACTATGGGCAAAAATACATTAACCATCAGGAAACAGGTAAAATTAAACAGCTGTAGCACATTACCCATACCAGAATGTCTCCTATTCAGCTTCTGTTTGAAATATGCTATAACAGAATGTTTAAAATCCTAATTTTTAGTTTGCTTATCTAAAGAGAAACTGTGTGAGAAGATGAAACAGATACACAGCTGCATTATTAATATCAAATGAGCTTATAAACTGCTGTAAAAATCCATTACTACTTTATTTATTCTTCTGAGAAAATAATTAAGCATCATGATAATATTACAGACACATTTTGATTACAACCATACACATTTTTGTTTCCTGTCATGGCAATCAAGAACAACATGCATTTATATTTCTTGCATGCTTTTGATATAAAAATTCAAAATGGGAAAACATGCATAGGTTAAAAAGCACATAACCTACAACTAAGAAAAACAAGAAAAGAGGCACACTGTATTGAATATATTAGATTTGGCATGAAAAAACACAAGTTACTTCATGGTGTACAGCTTAAATACTTCAAATCCTAATTTTTATAAAAATATCTACACACTCCCTTTGTTTTCAAGACTGGATACACATGGATGCTGTTTCAATTGAAAATTTTGTAATCCAAATGTCCAAGAAAATTGGAAAAAAAAATCACTGATCACCCTTCACCTGTGTGCAATTATTGCAGAGGAAAAGCAATTAATTGATTAAAAGAACTCAGACATTACAAGAATAGTTTTCACCATTATTAGAAAATGGTACATTTAATTTGGCATGATTTTTAGCTGGAATGATATCAACTGTTCAAAATGTTAATGCAGAAACTTGACCTTATTTTTTAACCAAAATGTGAACCACAAATTAATTCCATACACTCTTTGCATGCAAGCAGAACAATGAATTCTGTTTTCCTCCTGTCACCATATTAGCATCACACATCACATTTGAAATTTCTATAATGCAAAATGTTACATTTTGAGTAGTTTTTAATCACTTCGTAATATAAAATGCGTGAACTTGCAAATGAAGCATTAGGAAAATCCTCTATAGCAAAACACATGTTCAAAAAAGAAGTTCATATTATTTTTAATGAGTTTTCTTGCATGAGGAACAAGAGCACAAAATTACTACTGTATGACAGTGTAAAAGAAAATGCTGAGCCATGATAAATGAGAAATTTGAGCTTTGGTGGCTCGTTAATGTTTCAAGTGGTGTCCAAGGAATATAATTAATGGAGGGGAAAATTTGATTTATTTTTAGCCTCTTTTAATGAGGGCTGAAGCAGATTGACACAAGAAAACATGACTGAATGCTTGAATGCTGCTGATATCCTCAAATTTTGCAACGAAGTTCTTCAGGAGGCTGAAGGCTTAAAACATCAATATCCCCATAGAATATCCACAGCTTTCCAAGTCACTTGTCTCACCCTGACAGTTGCTGAGCAGCTAAATGCCCTTCTACACCACTAAATAAAAATAGCTAAATTAGGGATAAAGCCCCATAAAACACTCTTGTGCACAAATGTCAAGCCAAACAGGCAAGAAAGGGCCAGGGAGCTCCTGATGGCACTGGATATAATCAGTCACATAATTTTTGTTTGAGAGTTACAAAAGTCTTGCAGTTCATCTGAAAGACTCACAGTCATAAAAATCATCCAAAATTACTCTGTGGCAAAGTTTTGACCTTGATTTAATACATGCTTAATTGTAAAGCCAAGAGCCACTTTGTGTAGTTAGGTAGATAGAATTGCTTGCAAATAGTTTGACATATTACAAGTATTCTGCTAATTCAATATCGTAGTTTCTAATTCCTGTCAGAACATCTCAATATCTTAGTCAGGCTCTCCATATTTCCTTCAGCAAGCTTAAAAAATATTAGAAAAAAGGCCACTAACAATTTTCAACTTTGCTTAGAGCTAATACTTAAATCTTTCTCTACATTCACAGTTTATAGCTCAGCTTATATGTACTATTTATCCTTTTTTTCCTTAAATACAATTTCAACCTATGGAACATGAATTCAACATTATCAAGTTAAATTCATATTTTCACATTCAACAGTCCAAAACAAGAGTAGTCTCTAAAAATTCCTCCAATCCTAGCTCTAAACTAATGGGGTTTTTATAAAGAAATACGTATTTGCATAAACATCAGATGGCTAGAATACTGCATTGAACATTCACAGAGAGCCTTCAGTCTTTTTTTCCCATCAAAAAATATTCATCCAATAAACTAAGTTGGTTCCTTTGAACATTATAAAGTCTAAATTCAAATTCTAGGTCAAATAACAAACCAACTCTTGATGCCAAACCATCTCATGTCCAATATGATGGAAGAAGAATTTTCAGCATTCACATTTCTTGCTATCCATTAACTTAATACTCCCCTCATAATACCAGTAACATTTTTCTTGAATCAAACAGTATACGAATGCTTAGAAAATCTTTATGCACTTCCTCAACAAGTCAAATGAATCCTTTATGACACAGAGAAACATTTACCTTAAAAGTCACTGTTGCTTTTGTACAATAAAAACCCACTGAAATAATAGGATCTTTGAGGGACTGAGACTTCTGCTGTTCTCCTGTTCCATCATCAATTCCACCCGAATCATTCTCTTCATCATCATAACTCACAATAGCAGGAACAAAAGACCAAGCCCAAGAAACCCATCCTTGTTGCTGGTCATCATCTTGATGCAAATAAGGATCTTGACTAATGTACTGTGTAGGATACTGCATTACTGAGCTTGCTTCATCTTCTGTGCCTTTTAAAACAAAAGAAAAGTTCAATTTCAGATAAACCATACTTAAAAATTTATTTATTAAACTCAAATTTATGGTATGTGAAATTTATCTTGCACAGCATTCCATGCAGCATTCATTGATATTTGGCTTATAATCATAGCAAGTCAGTACAAATTTTAAATTACTGAATATGAGTTTTCAAACACTTCTTTGATTCATTAACATTTTCCTCCAAAAAATATTAAAGGTCTTTGCCATAGTCTTAGTATCACAACCTTAGCTTTAAACTGCTGTAATATTATAAACTTAAGCCTAGCTTAAGAGAGCTATGGCACCTTCAAATTAAATTCCAAGGATTTTCTAGACATTATCACACTTGAGCAGTGAGGTACATCTCTCTTCCTATTCCCCTAGATCTAAATTCAATCTTGGAAAAACAACCAAAACTTCTGTCTTGAGCAGATTAAAATTAAAATACAAATCTCTAAATATTAAATTTACAGAATCACAGAATAAGCTGAGCTGGAAGGGACCCACAAGGATCATTGAGTCCAACTCCAGGCCCTGCACAGAATCATCCCAAGAGTCACCCCATGTGCCTGGGAAGCAGCAGATGGGAAGCAATCACACAAAGGTAAAGAAAATTCGCCCCTCATCAGAGCAATGCTCCTGAAAAGACCCTGTTGTATCCAGTTACCACAAAAGATCATATAGAAGAAGGAATACATGTTATATGAAAATAAAAAGTAGTTTGAGACCAGACAAGGTGAAAGGACAGAAGTATGGGAAACAGTGCAAAGTAGTACTTCCTTGCTTAGAACAAGCTCTGATTTAGCTATTCTCAATGATCATTTTCAAATAAATTAATAAACAGCCTTTGGCTTTTCTTTTATTTGGTTCAAATGTGGCTGCTGCCAGTTTCAAACTTGCTAATGGAAAGGTGCCTTGCTGCATGATATACTGACAGATAAATCCATAGAACCCTACAGTGTCACAACTCCCAAAATAATCTCCTTAGATCATATTTAACCTCAGTTCAGTTAAGACCACCAGAATTCCTTATCAAACATAACATAAAACATGTTAAAGCACTGAATCCTTACCCAGCACAATGAACAGCCTTTAGCAAACTGCAGACTCACAAGATACTTGGCAAGAACTAGACCTGGATATTTACATTTGCAAAAATCAAAGAAATTAATGTTTTTAATGTTTCTTCTTACAAATTAAAAGCTGTACTCACTTGTGATATTTCCCAACATATCTTTAGTGTGGCAAATCAAATCTTCACTTTCCCCATCTTTGAAGTTGCCTATTTCTCCGTAATACAGAGCAATCCCAAGCTGCATTATACGTATAAACATAGGAAGCTGCTGATCAGAGATTGAAAGTTTCAAACTTTCAACTAATGTGTGAATCTACAATGTGAAAAGAGAACAAAAACAGACAATGAGAAAGCTCTGTCATCAGTATAACCCACTTTTAAACCATACAACTCCATATTCATTTGGAATGGATATTTTATTTCGGAAAACAAGATTTGCAACACAACAGAAGGCAAAGGGCTGAAAAAAATGACTAACAAAAACATCCACTTGGGTTGTCACACAATAGACTTTCAGTTGAAAAGTCAAATGTAACGTGCTTTACACATACAGAAACATTTATGTATTTGGTTTTTAAAGTTATTGCTGAAAAACCTTCTCAAATATAAGTGATACAAGAGCATCTAATTAAACTTTCATTTTCATTATAGAGTTTCAAAAACCATGAGAAATTACTTTGTAAACAGTATAGCACACTCATGGGTAAACAGTATTATAGTAGGAAAATCAGTATTTGTATAAATATATACTTATACTTTCATATGTGTAAATTAATGAAGTCTTAGCATGAGTCATAGAGAGTGAGTAAAAACTCCAAGAAAAAATGAAAATAATAGAGAGCATAACTTCCTTACTTATATGCTGTTTCTGTACATAAACTAACTGCATCATATGAACAAAACACAATTTAAAAATTCCTTTAGCAAAACACAACAGTACTAGCTTTTCGTTTTACTTAAAATTTTAAAGGATAGTTTGAAAATCCTCAAAACTTCACAATTGAGTAGCAAAAATAATTAGTTTGGATACCCACTTTAATAATTGATGGCATTTTGGAGTTGAGGTTATCATAAGTAAAATGCAGACGAGTCCTGAAGGAACATTTGTACAGCAGAGGTTCCTGGTAAAATTCAATTTTACCACTAGCATTTCTCTTATCAAGACATACTGTGCAGTCAGAAAAGTTGATCATCTTCCTCAGTACCAGATCAGTGGCTTTTAAAAGAAATATATAGGTTAAAAAAATATATTGCATACAAAAAGTAAGTTGTGCATACAGGTTCTTAACTAGAAGAAAGCAATACAAGACATTTTTTCAGTCATTATTTTAATCAGCAGCAAAGTATTTGCTTATGTGACTGAAGAGAATTATTTCCTGCACCAGTCTTTTTCTGCTGAATGCATAGGAAGTGAGGACAAATTAGTTACACCCAATTAAAATTTTTACCCTGTCTGCTGTACCTTACTTCTTTTTATAAAAGAAGAGTTCTGTTTTATGTGGAAGCACACAATAGCTATCATTCTCATTATTCTCACAGAAATAATTTTGCATATTATCCCCCAAAGTTTTCTTTTGAACCTTCCAAAAGAAACAAGAGCTATTCACTTACTACTATTATAGTGATCTTAACATGAAGTGTATTGTGTGATTTTGTCATAATAGTTTGCAATTATTTTATCCAGAACAAAAAAATAGGTTCGGGAAAACATTAATTGAATTCCCTACTCTGCCAGAAATCTTCTATGTGATCTTAGCACAGTTACTGTGCCCCAGTTCCACCTCTAGCCAACGTCAGCAAGAGCACCTAGGCTTAAAGGTGAACATTGGCAATTCAAGGACTGAAACATTCAAATAATGAAGATCAAGATAAAGAGTCTGAAACTGGGGGCTTTTTTCCCCTGAAAATGTGAAGTGAAATGAATCATGTATTACAACAGGTATGCTGAGCTACTGTGAGCACACTATACTGCCTCTCTTGCCAGCCTGTTCAGAGTTTTAAGATCATCACAAACAAGGACAATGGAATGTCTTAATGTGCTACTGCTCACTCACAAACTTGCCTAAGCACTCACTGCCAGCAGCAAGCACTAATTCAAATACCATCACATGATGGCAAGGTGAGCAGAGGACAACACATCTTGTAAGATTATCTGCGATCATACAAGGGTGCAATAAGAATCAATCTATATTATTACAGTTGGCTCATCAGAATTAAGGTAAGGACAAGAGAAAAACTAGCTTGGAAATCGAATTTCTGTCAAAAGACAGAGATGTCTTACTTCTGATAAAAACAAGCCATCAAGCCATTTTTATGAGACATACTAATTTCTGTATGAATTTAAGAGCACCTCCACAGTGATATGTAAAACCAAAAAATACCTACTCACCAGAGATGTCCATAAATGCTCGATCCCAAAACTCATTCACTGTATAGCATTCTGCAGAAGTGATATTGACTGAGAGAACAATATCATCTTCCACATACTTTAATATGAGATTGTTGATCACGATGTTGACATTGTTTACAACACGCCGAATCAAACTCTGCACATAACCTACAAAACAAAACAAATTCTTGGGAATGATAAGGAAGACATGACAAACTAATTTATTTAGTAAAAAAAATAATTACTTCAATATATTCATTATTTTTAACTTGCACTCTTTTTTAAAAAAATCAAAATTTAAACAAACTATGTACCATTGTACTTTCTTTACCCAAAAAATAACATGACTTAAAACTCTTTAAGAACCTGTGTAGTTATAAAGTCAATCAACATCCTAGAAATGCAAGATATCATAAAAAGTTGTTAAAAGGTATGAATGAAAGGTATGTTAAAAGGTATGAATCAGTCTCGTATGATTCATTACAATGAATCATACGAGACTGATTAACTTTAAAACTAATTAAGAAAACAGAACACTATGGATTACTGTAGACAAAGAATTTTAACAATTACTTTTTACTTGAGAGATACTTAGAAGTAGGTTTGGAAAAGTGAACGCCAGCTGCTGGGTTACTTTTCAAGTGTGCATATATTATGCCTAGGCGCTCCCTCATTTTTTTTATAAGTTCACTAAGCATTAACACACCTGGTACTCTCTCATTCTAAAACCTAATATATCCACATCTTTTTCAGTAAGACCCCTGTGAGGTGTATCAAAACCAATTTCTGTCAACAACCCAAACAGTAAGCACCTGCACTGAAGCCTGTTGGGAACAAATCCATTTACATGTTTTGTAGATGTAATGATATTGGAAAAATCATCTCATCTGGGAATTCACACTATGTGGCAAACAGTCATATTTTTAACAATATCATAAAAAATGAAATATTACCCATATTCATGTCTTTCATACATACTGAACCTAACTATGGACACAAGTCACTTGTGCTGGAAAAAAATCAAGCCTTAAAATTTCTCTGTTTTCAAATTTATGACATCGCACGCATCTAAAAATACATTTCATAAACACTATCGAGTTCTAATTTAGTGACTATGCTGAAAAAAGCCAGCTAATAATACAGGCTTAAATCCATAGGCTTCATGAAAGAGCAGTTTTCTAACACTTGCATTAAATAAAACTCCTTTATATCAACAAAATAAATTCAAATTTAAAATTAAAATGAACATCAAAATATTGTCAGATAACTAGGAAAATTAAGTTGCTTCTTCCACTCTACTCTGCTTTTTCTAGGTATTCATCTTTGTCACACTCATATATAACTTTTCACTTTAGAGTATATGGCAAGTTTTAGCATTACATAAGTGATTTCCTGGAGTTCCACAAACAAAAATTTGCCCAGCTATTAGGTGACATTTTCCCTTTTCTCAGGATTCAAAGTCCTCAATGACCTCAATGACCAGAAAGATGAAATCCAGAAATACAGTCAAATTCAATGTCAGATTTCTAACATAATATAAATTGGCTTTCCTTGCATATCAATCTAAAACTACTGAAAAATATGTGGACTAACTTGCTTTTAAGGATTTTCTCACAAACTCCTTCAAACAATAACATTTTTTGTTTATATGAACTCAGAAAACCAGATGTATTATTTCAATAATTAAGGGGCATAAGAGGCCTATATTCATCACTGGAGCAATGTAAACCAACCTGTACATAAACAGAAGGCAGCACAAGGCATTTAGCTCCTTTTCCTAATTTCAGCAGAGAAATATTTATGCAGACTATTTAACTAGCAACTATAAAATTATAACCATTTATATTTAAAGCAAGCTACTAATTTCATTGAAGAAAGTGAAGCTGTCTCTCCACAGGTCCAAAGTTTTTTCAGTATTTGGCTTTCAAGGGTCTTTCAAAGTCAATCTAACATACATTTTCCTGCTGTGAATGACAAAAACATTACATCATAGAAGGAAAAAAAGGCAAGCTGTACTGATAGTTTCCAGAGGCATTTAGGGAAAGACCAACACTATTTTCATCTCTATGTCTTTTTGGCTGTGTGCATGAAGAGAGAAATTAGAGTGCTATCTTCCAAATAAAATAGGGGTCATAGATTTGCTAAAAACTATCTATGAAGATATTTTCAAGCTAGTGGTATTGTTGGAAGTATCATACAAAAACCAGCTTCCTGATTAAGTTTAGCTTCAAATATACTAGAAGTAGATTTTCACATGTGAGGAACAATCTTAAGAAACTGTAATTCCTACTATTCAAAACAAAATAATAAAAACATCAACAACTTCATGTATAACAAAAGGTTTCTTTTTTTGTGTTTGAGGTTTTTTTTAAAGAGTTTTGTTTTAAAGACAAGTGGGGAAAAGTAAAAGGTTACTTATACTCCTGTGATTTCTAAGAAAAACACTATGAGCATCTTTGCCACTGAAATACAGGTTTTCTATGGTAAGTGAATAAAACAACCAGAAAATTTGTAGGGTTAAATTCTTTCCTAAGGTACAACACAAAGTCCACAGGTACTTTTTTTTTAAATTGTCCAGAACCCAGGAGGCTGCCCTGTGCATGAAGTGCTGCAATTTCAAATCCACCACTCCAAAATGTCTGTATCTCTACAGTCACAGAATCAATATCATCTGACTAGACACATCTAAAGAACTTCAGTTTAGCAGCAGTCTGTTGTTGCAAAAGCAACATTTTTAGCTGAATTTTGCGTTTGGAGATTCATCTCCAAGGTCACTAAAACAAAAGGGGAAATAAATATTTTTTAAAAATACAGCACAAATATGACACACACATCCTCCAAGGACTAAAAAAAAATGAATAAAAAAAAAACTAAACAAAACAAAAAATTTTTTAAAAATACCAAAAAAAACTCTCTAAGCAGATGACTCCATATCTTACTAAAATTCAGGATGCACAAATTAAATCTTCAGACATTTTACCCCACAGGACTTCTATACTAAACAGTACTATTTATCCACTTAAAACCAAAGCCACCTGTATTTACAACTTTGTAATTTACAACAATTAATACAACTGTACTGATATAATTTCACCACAAGAAGGTAACTTACAAAAATCCTACCAGGTATCACCAAAGGAAATATATTCATACCATTTTTGGGTAGCCTTTGACTTTTTTTTTGCAGATGTAACCCAAAGAACCGAATTCCACAGAGCTGCTACAAGTGAAGCGCTGTCCATGGTAGGAAATGGTTTCCCACAATTCCAAGCCCCAGGAGTTTATTAGATTGCTAAACTCTGAGACACTCCAGCCCTGGCTCCTTAAGTAACCATTTCAAAGCAAGATGATACCATGTACCACATCGTATTACGCACACTAAATGTCAATGATGTCCTTTGATTCAAGTCAAATATAAAGTCAAGTATCTGTTAACAAAAGACAGCAAGAGAGCTTTACACAAATCTATAATAGTTTTAACCTATCCAAAATTACATGACCCAAGAAAGCAAACTTGCAATTCGTTCCAGTACTCTCCAATTATACTTTTCTGCGTGAAACACCTCATATCTAAACTCAGAGGCAAGAGTAACCAGATACATATATCCTTAGGCATTTTTGTATCATGAAATATCTCTTAAGTTCAGCATCCAAATTTCACATTCGCATTTAAATTCCATATCCAGGGGAAAAAAATGGGTGAAAATCTCATCCCGTAGATACAGGGCTCAGTAGAAAACATTAGTAAAACATGAGACAGTTTGGGTTTTAAGCCTGGAAAAGAGAAGTCTCCAGAAAAACTTTACAGCAGCCTTCCAGTACCTAAAGGGAGTCTACAAGAACGTTGTCCTGGAGAGGGGCTATTCACAAGAACATGTACAGACAGGACAAGGGATAATGGTTTAAAATTGAAAGAGGGCAGGTTTAGATTAGATTAGACAATACAAAGAAATTCTTTCTTTTGAGGCTCTGGAACAGGTAGCCCAGAGTTTTGTTCAAGGCCAGGCTGGATGGCGCTTTGAGTTGAAACACCTGTTATGGTGTACCACCATAGCTGGGGGCTGATACTAGATGATTTTTAAGGTCCTTTCCAATCCAAGTAATTCTATGATTCTATGATGCTACCTTGAACTATAAATGAGTTATGTGAATTTAAGAATTTGATGAAATGGAAAGAAAGGTTATCAGCATTAAACTACATTTTATTGTGATTCGGTTCTATTTTCTAACATACGAGTATTTCACTAACCTTTATGATTTGTAGGTAGACAAAAACATAATAATGTAACTTAGACACTGTGGTCATCTGAATAAAAGTCTGTATTTCAGTTACAGAAAAATATCTAATCAGTTTCTGAAATTATGGATTACCTGGAGGTAAATCAGGGTCAGGAGAAGCAGACTGCTGAACTCGTCGTGATTTTACTGCTGATTTCATGCTTTCTGTGGTACTGCGGTTTGTTGAACTGGAACCACAACTTTCGTGGTCTTCCTGCTAGAGGAAAAGAAAGCAATGAAGTCAACCAAACAGAAAGAAAATAAATGTGGGGAGAACTTGGTAAAGGTTCTGTAAAATCTGTTACTGTTTTTCCATCAATTCAATCCCATACTACAGAAGCTGACACAAAATTAGCTGGACAACATAAAATTAATACTTTCACTAACTTCAGTATAAAAAAGAAACCTATCATTTAAATATTTATTTCAACTGAACATATTTCTTCTAGCTCCATTCCTGCTGAAACATTCCTCAGAGACAGAGCCCTGCAGATTACCAAAACAAGTATGAGAAACTACCTAATTGTATGAGCTTATATGCCTACTCATGAAACCACCTCAGATGGTTCCAAGATGTCAGACTCACATCCTTCCTAATAGCACTAATTGAAACTGATTCATAAAGCAAAATATTTTTGCAGACTTCTATAACAGTAAAACATGACCCCAGAAAAGATAAATGAACTGAGGGCACCTGCTTCTCTTGAGCTTCAACATAGCTCATTTAACATTAAGGAATTCAGATGCAGAAACGTGGCTCGTAATTCCAGAATATGATATAAGCCTTTCAAGATGAGATTTGCAGAGACAAGAAAACCTTAATTAGCTGAATCTAGGATTTTAAATATACCAGTAGTATGCCTATTACATTCCAGAATGAAAGCGGAACTACAAGGCTCAAGTGTAAGAAAGCCAAGAGAAGTAATGAAAATATTCTTGTAAATGTATTAAAAGAACAGGTTGAAGAGGATGCAAACACAGCTTTTGACCTAAGCCAAATTACTTTGATAGACATAGTCTCTTGCAGAAAAAGTGAAAAATGCTTTCTGGGTCATGCCACTGATTATACCACACAATTTGTTCACAAGAAAGAAGCTTTGGGGAACAAATGTCAAGTAATACAGTATGAGTTATAATATACTTAAGTCTTCCTAACACCAAGAGCAAGCAGCTTAAACTGTGCTGCGTTTTTGTATGGGACAGATCACGTGTTTCCCCACGTGCTGCCTGGTATTTCTAATAATCTCAGAGAAGTTACAAAAGGGAATCTTCATATTACTTGCTTTTTGATGTGGATTTTTTTTTCCATAAAGAAAATTAATGCATGCAATGATACATTTCAAATGCAAGTCTACAACTTCAAAAGTAACTGAAGACATTTTGTTCCTTCCACTGTATTTAGAACAACAAAACAGAGAAATTCTCTGATAAAATGAAAATACCATTTCACTAAGAAAAAGAAAGAAGAGCAATATAATTTTAGTCAGGGAAAAATAAGATTAAGATAGAAACTTTAACTCATTTGGAGCAATTGCATAAGACAGCCATATTGACATATTAGAAGACTAGATGATAGCTTCTAAAAGAAGGATGAGTTATCATAAAGGATTTGAGATTTTCCATTTATTAATACAGTATTACAAAGCAAGCTGTTGGGTGTTTTTTAATTTATGGATATTTGGCCATTTTAGTCATACAGGAAAGTCTCATTCAAGTTCATAAAACCCCCATAACGGGTGTTGAGAATCAGCTCTGTTTAGAAGGCATTTGTTTCTTATCTCTGACAAGCTTCTCATACTTTCCATTGAGGAATGCATGTTTCCTGCAGGACCCTCTCTGAACTTCGAACTATGGAGCAATTTCAATAGAAAACCACCTCTCTCTTTATTGCATAACTTGACAGAGATAAAAAAAGGGCTTTAAGCTTTCACTGAGCCCAGCGTGATGGAAGCCTCCACATCAAGATGTATTTTCCCACCTCTCCTGTTTACTGAGAAAACCTAGATAAGACACTCTTAATCTAAAATTTCTGAAATAACTTTGAGCTATACTCTTTCTTGGAAACTAGATCACATGTAGCATAGAAATATTTTTTCAGGTAAGTCACTACACAACTATTTATGTTTTGAACTTGCAGAAAAGCCCAAGCTCAATTACCACATTTCCTTCTTCCCCAAGCTCACTCAAGGATTGCACAGAATGCTGTACTGCAACTATTTAATGACTTGGTCTAATAGGATCACATTACACTTGACTTTTAATATTTATGTCAGCTACAAAATAAAGAGAAGGGGGAGAAGGGAATGGGGAAGTTCTTTTTCTGAAGTGTTAACTCTGTCAAGCCTGATTACATTAAAGTCTAACTTTTCTATTTACATAATGCTACAATTATGTTAAATACATGTTCTCAAAACTTCACAAAATTTATGCAATATTTTTGAGTATTATGAGCAAAGATTAAATAAGAGTGGTTTAAGTTTTTACCACTTTCAGAGATCTAGGAATAAACACTACCACTGGCTTTTGACGGGGGTTTGGTTTTTTAAAGGAAAGGGGATGAGAATCCTTAATTTTGAAACAAAGTCTCAAATCTCAACCTATAAACACATTATATACAAATAAGCTTTTTATATTTCCCTGAGCTACAGGTCTGTTTCAATGGAAAATGGCTGTAAATCATTTACAGCAAGCTGGACCTAAACACAAGCAAAAAATGTACATGTTCCAAAATAGTGCCAAAACACAAAACAAATTTATCTCAGAAATATACCTGTGTGATTTAATGCATATGAAGTAACAGAGTACACATACAAGAAGAATTCAACCTGACTAGCATTTGAAGAAAGGGTGTTTTGTTGGGGTTTTTAAATCTGGAATAATATCTATTAATTTCCTTATAATACACAATTATCAAAAATACTTTTGGGGGCTTCAGGGGTTGGTTTTGGGTTTTTTGAGTATGAAAATACACACCATTTTTCACAACAGTTACTGATATTTTGTAAGCCAAATGTATTCTTCGATTACTGATGATAAGAGTGGCCATGAACTTAAAAAAAGTTACAATCCTAAGTACACATATATCCAGAAGGTTTCTGTATCTGCACATTTCTGCTCAATGTTAACTTTAAGAGCACACTATTAATTTCTCAAACATGTGGTTGTCTCATAAGCCCAGAAGTAAAACATGTTCATTAAAGGAATGGGGAAAGTTCCAAGGAAACTGCCAAAACTAGCATAATTATGAAACTATTTAAAACTGGAACCAAGTAGAGTCACACGCTGTGTCTAGATCACAGTGATGTCATCAGAAACACCCAGCCAAAAAGCACTAAAATTACTGCACTCCCATAAATCCACCTCACACCAGATGAAAAACATTTAAAAGTTGAACTCAAAATTGTAATGGTGGTGGGAAGGGAGTTACATTCTAAAAGTGCTAATAACCATAGTTGTGGTATGAAATTTGATAAACCTCCATTCATTTTATCATTAATGATAGTGATTCCAAACAATAGCCACAGCAGTGGAAAACTAAAAACACTCATGATATATCTAGAGAGATGATTTTTAAATAAGATAACTCATTTACAAAAGTATCTTTTCCCACTAGCTTGTATCATAAGTAAAGTCTAGAAAACTTAAATTTGAACTGTTCTGGGGTACTGTTTTGGGGTGTTCTGCAAATACGACAAATACAATTTTCCACAACCAGGCTCCTTTTTCACATTTTGCAGATGTGTCAGATCCAGTAGTCGGCTGAAATGTTTTTATGAAGCACTATGGCTAGTTCTAGAACTATGCAAGTCGTAAGTAACATGGTAAAGGCACCTAGGCTAATAAAGTTATATTCAAGTTCCTCAGTCAATTTTCTACTGCAATTTAAAACCAGTATTGCAAGGTTTAAAACAAATTACAGTTGACAATACCTGAACACATAACAGGTTTATTTTGATCTTTCCTAATAAGTGGAGTTTATAATCTTTGTTCATTATTCTTTCCTTTGTTCATTATGCTTTCCAAATTCAAAATAATTTTCTCCTTAAAAAAGACAAACTCTCTCTTTTTAAAACACACAAATCATATTCAACATGCAAGATCTCCAAAAAATCACATAAAGCACACCTTAGAAGAAAAGCATGTCCCTTGGAGATCACTTGGCTATTTATGCAATTATTCTCCTCCTTGAGCTCCCTGTGAGGCACTGCATGGAATACAGTACCCAGTCGAGGGCTCTCCAAGACTCCAGAAGCAAACCTATAGAGGACCACCATGGTGCGTAGGGCACAGGAGCCCTGTGATCTCAGGAGAACCTCTTGTGCTCTCAGGAGAGACTGAGATAAATTAGGGCTGTCCAGCCTGGAGAAGGATAATCCTACTGCCACAAACACCCCACTACAGAGAAGTAGCCAAGCCCTGCCAGCAACCAATTCTAATTGGACCTGCTTTGGGCATGAAGCTGGACTAGATCATCACCAGAAACGATTCCAAATTGCACAAAGATTCCTCTACATGCAAAAATGAAAGAAAAAGTAATACATTTTTTTTAATTATTATCTTTAAAATACACAAGTTTCACTAAAATGGTAAACATCATGAAGATCTTACTTTCAAAAGGGTATCTGGTTCTTTTCCACTGCTACACAACTGCTAACATGCACTACACATTAACAGATTCATATTACACTTCCAACCCCACAACAATACTTCTGCTGCCTAACACAGGTTAAGCACTGCTTAGAAATTAATACAGGAAAATCATTTTATTATTTGTTTAATAGACACCAAACTAGAAGCATAACACTGAAACAGATAAAATCCAGTGACTCACATATAACATCTGTACATCTTTTGCAAGGTGTGATTTAATAATCTAACACATATTTACTTGAAAATTATGTAAATATAGGTATATTTCAAAACCATGACAGTGCAAAATATTGAAGACAATTTAGCCAAATCAGGCTGTGTTCCAATATTGCAGAATAATTAAGGAATTCTATATTACATATAGAAATTACATGTTCTATGTATATACTTCTAGCACTTTCAAAAGACTATTTGATACTGCCTGGTTTTTTTCACTGCAACAAAACTCAATTTTAACTCTTTTCAAAACACATACCTCAGAGTGAGCACTCAGAGACAGAGCTCTGTCTTTCTCTATGGCAGACAAGAACATGCTGGAAAGTCTTTTTTTTTCTACCACAGCTT